GGACGTCATATATCTATCTCCTTCTGTTACTCGTCGCCCGACGTTCAGAGCGCACACGTACACGGACGCATATACGGAGCTTTCCATTTCCATATGCTAGCGAACGGCCCACCTCTTTGGCCTATGAAATTGACCCGCGAGCAATCGTCCATTTTCTTCGCCGGCCGCGGCGAGCCGTATGTCCCGCCCGTCGCGTCGCGCGCTCTAATTTGTCCAACTAATTTTATTAATATCTCGAAATTTTACGTGGTTGTTTGAAAAATGACCTCTACAATTTTTGTTCAGTTTTATCTGTTCTACTTATATTTTTCTTTCGGCATGTCTTATGCGGGACACCCTGTATATATATATATCGTGTTTCCATGTTAAATCAAATATTTAACGTGTTGTAAATATAAATTTTGTATATTTATTTATTGTTTCATATTATCCATTTTCCAAATTCTTTTTCCTTCCAAAATTACGCAAAACGCAGCGCGTGAAAGAGGGACTGATGAGAGTTGATCTAGCTTTGCGATAAGATCGTCGCTAGCTCGCTTTATGCCTACGTCGTACGGTCACTCATTAGTAGTGAGAGAAGAACAGAGCGATTGGACGTCTGTCCTTTTCTAACTTACTATCATTGACTGCGTTTAACAGAGAAACTGCTTTGCAACTGTTGTAAAATCCATGAATCTAATTGGAGCATGCTCTTAATTTTGGTTGAATCCAAGAGTATGTACCAATCATGGTGTAAGAATATAAGAGCTGCGTTCCGAAATTCACTGCCAGTGCTGAAATTCTATAGTATACGTGATATGAACTATAAATTTTCAGTACTGGCAGTGAATTTCGGAATGCAGCCAAGGTGTACAGTTGCGCATAATAGGAGGAAAAGTAGGGATATAGCCAATGAAATGATATCCAAAATTCAACCGCGACATTCAAACGCAGTTTTATCTACAGTGCGACAAAAAGTGAAAACAATGTTATAAATATAATAGAAAACTGAGTAAATAAGTTGTTTTTAAATAGAATATTAATTCAATTCTATATCGTTTATAAATCATTAGTGTTTAATTCAACAAAAAGCAAGAAAGGTGTAGTATTGGATTAAAGTATGTAAGTTGTGGGAAAGTAATAACTTATTCTTGTGTTAACTATATATAAATATATAAATAAAAATAAATATACATATATATATATATGTATATATATATATATATATATATATATATATATATATATATATATATATATATATA